GGTCGAGGCATGTGAGAGGGAAAAACAAAATTTTTCGAGCGGAATAACACATACCATATCAAGAAACATGCTTTAGGGCATGGATGTTACCTTGTTTGCTTTCCAAAACTTGAGGATGATCAAGATGAGGCTTGAAGATGCAAGCCCTCTAATGTTGATCCACACCACCCTTTGTCAAGACGGAAGAACTCTTCTTCAAGGCCACCAACGAAAACACCAATGGAGACAAGCTATGCGCCCAATGTGTGAAGGAGGAGGCTAGGTCAAGGTGTTTAGAAGAGTGAATATTCAGCAATAATAGACACAAAAGTGGCGCATGGTTTTACTTTGAAAAAGGCTAGGTTATTTCAAAACTCTCTTAAGAAAAACCTGACAAAAGGAACCCACAAGGAGATGAGAGAATTAAATATTAAGATCAGATTTTCTTCACTTAAATAAAGCCCTATGTCGCGCACACTAGGGGGATGAGTGGAGTTGTTGCAAAATTCAAATCTTGTCAACAACCTCCTCTCACATCCTCATGATATCAAGTGAATATCTCAACAAGAATCTAACTCAACAACCATCATATGGCCAGCCATATGGTGCGCCCCACTTGGCCTCATAACAGTTCAGATACGTTGAGCAGAAGCATTCAAACTTGAACCAACTGTCTCACTTATTCTCTCAACAAACCAAATCTGACTGGAGCTCATTTGGTTGATCTTATGACCATCATCAGATGCCAAAATCAGCGCCCCATATCCTCACTAGAAGATTCTCAAAGATCTTCTCTTGATATTTGGGATTTGTTCCAACAAGATCTTATCTTATCCTTTTGTTATGAAACAACTTTTCATAGCCAATTCAAATTCGAATTCAAACATTTGAATTCAAACGTTCAAATATTTAAATTCCAAATTCAAATTCAAATTTCAAATTCAAAATTCAAAATTTCAAATTTCAAATTTCAAATTTCAAATTCAAAATTCAAAATTCGAATTTCAAAATTCAAATTCAAAATTCAAATTTCAAAATTCAAATTTCAAATTTCAAATTCAAAATTCAAATTAAATTAATTAGTAATGTCTTGGACCATCCAAGCCCATTAACTAACCATGCGCCCTTTTTCCCTTTTGGTGGGCTTCCAAACTTCTTCTTGGGCTAACAACCATTATTAGGCCCAATACCCTTAATGCTATATTGTCATGACAATAAGGTGTTAGTGTGTGACCCATTAGCCCCAACATAGCCACTGACATAAATGAGCTTGGGCCCAATAAGCCCACAACCCATCTAATGACAACACAGAGCACTAGCAATGTTTTGTTGCCCCAGAGCTAGTTAGGTTAATGACATAATCATCCTATTACACATATTTGGTTGCCGTATGTATTTCCTTTCGTCTCGGTTACCTTCCCATAAAACCTAGGGTAAGGAAACGTATCAACCCTTGCGATTTAGGGTAAGCTTTATTCGAAATAGGGAATCTTCAATTTACTGACTCTAAAGGCAGATCATCTCATGATCTCTTTTACTATGCATAGATTTCCGAGTCCCTGTAAATGTCATCCCGATTTCTCCGGTTTACAGATAACCTAATCTCTCACAGAGATTTGACGAATTCCTTCAGCTTATCACCCTAGCCCTGTGCTCTTTCAGGACAAGCCCAACAGTATACCTATGAGTCTCCATGTTTCAGGCAGACGAGGTATACAGTCAAAGCATGCCTTCTAGAAAACAGTCTATGCAATAACTTATGGTATAAGGAAAGACATACCCAAATATAAAGAGACTACTCTAATGATACTCTCTGTGAGATTTCCTCATAGAGTCTCTTTTGTGGGTCTGTTCAGTGCGAGCTATACCCTTATAGATCCACCCACAACTTTAGCTAAGACATCTCCATATCTGTAGCTCACGAGGTCTTTACCTTGTATCCGAATACAAGTAGATAAGTCGTGCTAGTCTTACCCGAGATTGCTGTTCCCCATTCTCAGTGTCTCTAGACTAGTAACATAAAATTATGAATAAACATCCAGTATCCTTGAATCCTCATGATCGTGATCTCATCACAGATACTCAAGAGATACCTATTTTATTCCAAGGGGTTTATCCAGTTACTCATATATAATATTAACAGTAATATCGAGACAAAATATGAAACAGGATAAATAATGCTTTTATTTATTTGCGACAATACAAAGGTCCACTTATGTCCTAATCTAATCAAAAGATTGTCTCTAGGACATCCATATACTAACATTAACAACGCCAACTTGTCTCCTACCCGATGGTAATGATTCCTCCTTTGATTGTGCTATGCTCCTTGATTCCTCCTTTGATTGTGCTATGCTCCTTGGTCGACGGTTACGCTGCACCAGCATCCAATTCCCAAACGGTTCCTCCTTCGCCGGAACAGAATCTTTTTCTGGCTGCTTATGCACCACCGAGTCAGAAACTTCAGGAGAATAAGCCGTAATATCTTGTTGAAGATTACTATGGGAACACTGATCCCTTCTATGCCCATACTTTCCACAAGCAAAACAGACTAAGTGGAGACCCTCATATCCAACGTGGAAGATACGATCAGCAATCCGAAATTTGGACAAAAAGCTTTTCCTAAGATCAACTTCGACACAAATTCTAGCAAACTTTGCTCTCTCTGTAATATCACCTTCACCAGAATCACGTTTCCTGATAGAGTTCCTATCAATCTTCAATGTGCGACCAAAAATACTACCTAGATTCCACAAATGATGAGAGGTATAGAATTCAATAGGAAGTCCTGGAATACGAATCCAAACTGCTAGCTTTCTGATCTCATCATCATAAGGATTAAAAAATGGACGCCACCGTTGAACTACCACATAATGATCAGCTATGATCCAAGGACCATCCTCCAAAACATGAGAGTAATCATTCTTATTGGAAAATCGGAACAAAAAGTAGTCATTCTCCAGATCAATGAACTCATATGTGCCTGAGATATTCCACATTCTCAGTAAACGATTGAGTAAGAATCTAACTCCAACTTTCTTCCCCAGAAGTTTCACAATCACTGCCTGTCTCCAAGGTCTGCAACCTTCTAAATGCAAGGCTTTTGGAAAAGAGTACATTGTGCAAAGAGGATCCTCCTCACCATCAACCGTAACAAAGACCTCATCGCCTTCTTCTTCGTCCTTTTCCTTACATTGTTTTTCTACCCAATCTTCCTCATCGCTATCAGTAACATGGGGTCCTCCATTAAAACCAAGAAGAGAATCTTTATATGACACCAACTTCCTGTTAGATGAATCACCTAACTCCTCCTTCTTCTTTTTCCCGTTGCTAGTCACATTCACCTGGATATCCTCCTCTGCCATGTGATCATCCATAGGTTGATCTTCCATAGCAGGGCCTTTAGGTTTTTTTGTGCTTCGATGGAGAAGATCTTTCTCCTCCGCCATAACATCTCTCGCCTCCTTGTCGGTTTCTCTCTCTTCACTCATCTCTCCTCCGACAAATCATTTAGTATCCATATTATTTTCAATTCAGCTTCTACATTACATATTGTTGGACTATAAATAGTTAGTGTGTTTTTTTTTTTTTGTAAATATAGTTAGTGTGTTTTAATATTGAAATATATGAGAAAATTCCAAAACTTCCCTTTTTTTTCCCTCTCTCTATTTTCCCGCTCCTATTTCATCTTCTAGATTGGAATCGCTACATTGTCACTGCAAAGGTAATTCCACACTTTTCTTCACCTAGTAGGGACCGAATCCATCGAATGAACCATTTCTTGCCAACCGTTCCCCAATTGAGATTAGTTTCCTGCAAGCTTTTTATAATCACTGGATCCATTAATGGTCACCATTTGCATGTCTTCATTCATAATGGGAGCACCCCAAATTTCATTGTGGAACGTAGGGCTCATGACTTATGCTATCAATGATAGCAATTCCACCATTCAAGTGAAAGTGGGAAATGGCGATGCACTTCGATCCTTAGGATCAATACTAGACAATAATATTCGAATCCATTAATCAATTTCTTAGTCAATAATAATATAATTTCTAAGTGTTGATATTGTATTTGATTAACGTTTTGTTCTTTTTATAGTTATACTTACCCAAAATCGGATTGACAAAGTTGAGTAATATAAATATAACTAAAGAGAAAAGATACTTGATAATGGTTTTGGTACATATCACAATGAATGAGGACGAATCACGAGCGAAACTAATTAAAATCTAAAATGCACAACTTTTAATGGTTAGAAACTAAAAAAAACAATTTATGTATAAAAAAAAAAAAAAAAAAAAGCAATTGACTTGGATTATGTAGTTGAGGATTCCGGTTTTGAATTAAAAAATTTATGAATGAAAAGAAGAAAAATATTTTGAGTTTGATTTGGCCAATTAACTTGTACGAGTTAAATTATAAGTTTAACTCAGCTTGTTTATAAAAAATTAAAAGCTTGACTCGGGTTTGACTTGACTCATTTATAATTAAAAAATATTTTTTTTTTAAATTCATATACTTTCAAATATTAAGATTATAAATACATCAAATTCTGTAAATGAGCCAGAAAGGAAATAAATGACCAATAGTAAGAGGTAAGAGAATATCAATAGACAATAGTAAAAAAAAAATAGGCTTAAAAATGTGGTTAATAATTTAGTGACATAAAAATATATTATTTATGAGAAAAATATTTATCCTTTTAAAGGATTGTCATTTTAGTTAAAATGAGTGTTTTTTATTTAATATTTAAATTAAAAAAATCTCCCACTTTTTTCTTTTGATTTTCGTTTTGCATATTTTTTTCTTTGTATAAAATATTATAATTTTGATTAGAATGACATAGTTCTATATCCTTTAAAAACACAAATATTGTTATAAAAAAAAAAAAAACACAAATATTAAACTCATTATTTATTATAATAATATATGCCACCTCACAAGCTTTGAGACCAAACCTTATTAAATTAGACATGGAGTTATTTAGTAGCTCAACTATTTTTAAAACTTGAGGCCATTTTATTTATTAAACAAGAGCAATATTTGTGAGCCTATCTGGGCGGTTCTTTGTTTCTTTCTCTGTTCGCGGTGTTTACCTCACATGAAACAAGTCCTTCAATTCGTGTCTACAAGCTCTTTCAATCTCACCAGGTTTTTTTTTTTATCTGTTGTGCCTCTTCTTCATTTTCCAAGTTCCAAATCTCTGTGAATTAAATATATTTCGTGTTTTTTTTATCAGGGTAAAGATTCGATTTTTATGTTTCCTTTTTTTTATTGATTTTTAAAATAAATTTAATAAGTTGCATGACACTTATTTGAGTACGTTAATCGAATTTCAAGTTATCTGGGTAGCTGAACTGACTGAGAATGTTGTAGTTTTGCAGTGTTTAAGAAACATTTGAATACTAAGACATTGGTTACTCCAACTGTGAAAGCAATGGGGTCTAAAAGACCCTCTTCAGATTCATCAGAATCCATGTCACCATTTGTTGAGGACAAGAATGATATGAAGCGTAAAGGGTTGGAAGCAAGCCCATGTTCCAAAAAGCATGTTGTTAAGGTCTAATATGAGTGTTGCAATCCTCTTTTTATTTTTTTTATTTTTTTTATTTTTTGGTTATTCATTTGAGTTGATAATGTAGGAAAATGATGTTAATAGCTATTGCATTGAGATTGAGAGATTAAGAAATGAGCCTGCCCTAATAGACACAATGACTGTTCAGGAACTTCGGAAAACATTGAAGTAAGCATATATGTCTTTTTCATTGCCAAGTAGCTATTGTTTTAGTTCTAATATTAAACAGTATTGTTGATGTTATATCTTAGGAGTGGTTTTGAATTCTCAGGATTATTAGGGTTCCTGCCAAGGGTCGTAAAGATGATCTTTTGTCTGCCTTGAAGAGTTTCATGGACAATAACATGTGTGGTATGCAATTCTGTTAGTATTATCTGAACTTTTACCATTTCTTGGGGAAGGGAAGAAATGAAGAATTTTTTTTCCAATATCCATTTTTGTTTCCAAATTGACTCTTCTTTTACTCCCTAACATTCATGTGGCTCTTTAAAAAGTAGTTCAAGTTGTATAATTCTGATGGTTATAGGGTCTCTTCACATGCAGAACAAGATTCTCAAATAAGAAAAGAAGGGTTATTCATTACTTCTGGAAATACATCTGTGGAAGTGAAGGCAAAAAAGGTGTCAGATGAAGACCACGATGATGATGTCAATGATACTCCAGAGATATTTGAACTTAACCAGGGTAAGAGGAGGTTAATACAATCAGGATCTGAGAGCAAAACTGTCAAGGTGACTACCAAGAAACAGCTGTCTGTGAAATCCGACGAGGTTTCAGGTTGTGTAGTAGAATATGTAGATTCTTCATATTAAATGTTTATCGTAACTCTTTTTTTTTTTAATTTTCTTGATGTCTTGTTTTATGACTTGTCAATTTTGGTTCAAATATCACTCATTCAAACTAAGCATAAATCTTGTATGGGCGTTTGTTGCCAGATTCTAAGTCTTCCAGGGCAAAGAGAAAAGTATCTTCAGAAACTGTTAGCGTTGTTGTGCAATCAGATGAAATCAGTACAACCACTATTCAAACTGAGCCATGGACTGTTCTTGCCCACAAGAAGCCTCAAAAAGGTTGGATTGCATATAATCCTAGAGCCATGAGATCCCCACCTCTTACTCAGGATACAAAATTTGTCAAGCTTTTGTCTTGGAATGTCAATGGATTGAGAGCATTGCTAAAATTAGAAGGATTTTCTGCACTTCAACTTGCCCAAAGAGAAGACTTTGATGTATTGTGCTTGCAAGAGACTAAACTGCAGGTAGAATATCGGTGCTCATTTTATGCCTTGGAGTATTTATTTTTCCAACAGTCCTCGGTTTCAATTTTTGCTGGTTTATAAGTGCATCTTGCATTATGCTGTAGTTAAGTTATGTAAATTCTGATGGTTGCTGAAAAATTATGCTAAGAATTAATTGATTTCAGTAGTTTGTTTTTATTAGTCATATGTATTTTTTAAATGGTGGAGAAAAACCTGAATTGAATAATTTTGTTATGGAAGTATGTTGCTTTTATATTCTTGAATACCTAAGTATTCTAGTTATTTTGATTTTGCAACAAGTTAATGTAAGGTCGATAGTTTGGAAATTTTCTGATTGTAATCTGATAGGGACTGAAAATCACTGAATATTATTTATCCAACAAAAGGGAGCTCAGCTCCTTACAACAGGAAAAAATACTCTGGAAAAATACAGAAAAAATTAGAAAAAAAAAAAAAGATGAAAAGAAAGAAAGTAGTTACCCAGAGAATACAACAAGCAATCTCCAGATTCTCCACCGCGGCCAATGGCCAGCAAATTTACCCCAAAATGTTTTTCTCCTCTCACGACCCCCTGCTCCCTCCCGGTATATGTTCAGCTCTCTACCTGCCAGGACCCTCTCCATTCACACACTGCCCGCTGTCTGTTCTGTTGTGCTCATGGTCCACTAGTCAGTTTCGGTCCACTAGTAAATATTCTTTCATTGCGTCCTCCTTCACGGCCCTACTATGCCCCTTATTTCTCATAGCTTAGACCTTAGTTTCAATGCCTAACGTCATCAAAGGAAGAACTCTATACTAGTGGAAATGGTTAGAAAGCTGAAGAATGGTTGTAGGATATTTTGGACTTGTGACTCATTATAATCCCTCAAATTAATTGGCTATTTATGAAATTGAAGAGGGATGTTGAACAGTTCAAATCTGTCTTCTTTCAAAGAACTGGTGTTCTTTAACAAAAACACTAGAGTAGTGGCTGAAAAAGGGCTGATGTTTTGAGATAGTTCTTGGTCATGAGTATTCTTTACTAGTTGTCTGTTACAGCAGAAGAGCCATGAGGGTAATTAATCAAATTTATAATTTCTCTGTATAATATAATTAAGACTAGACTGAAGTTTCTGTATCATAGCAGCAAAGAATTTTTATTTGCAAATTGTAAAAAATGTAAATCGTGAGAAACTAGTCCCAGCCGAGTCTTAGATGCTGCCTTTTAAAATCTATCAACCGTGATGTTATGAAAATTCATGGTGCTCATTCCATCCTATTTATGAAAGCTCTGATTTTGCTAACAGGAGAAGGATATTCAGGAAATCAAAAAGCATATGATAGAGGGCTATGAGAACAGCTTTTGGACATGTAGCGTTTCTAAGCTTGGTTATTCTGGAACAGCAATAATCTCAAGGGTATGTTGACTATGTTCATGTTGCATCTTCAGACTTTTCTACATTTGAAAGAAGAGGATGTTTATAATAATGACTATTCGTTACACAATTGTCTCATGCTAAATATTATGATGGCAACTTAAGCTTCAATGCTAAATGCTTATCACGTAATGATGTGTTCTATGCATTTTTACCAAGTAAAAGTTTTGGCGATAAGTTAGTGATAATAAAATAAATTTAAACCTACTTTAGTAATATTCTTTAAAGGGGAGAGCTATAGCAGTGGTAAAGTTGCTTCAGGACTGGTTTGAATGCAAGAAACAACCTCTTTACAAAAATAAAGGGTAATGCTACATACAAGGATTTTTTTCACCCTTACCCTCACAAGTCGGGGTTTCATGGGGAATGCTTTTTAAGTAATATTCTTTCTTCGACAGAGCCAAACACTAATTGCATTTGTTCATGAATCATAATTGTTTGGTACTCTGTTGCTTAATCATTCAACTTCTGGAAATAAGGTTGAAGCCTAAAGGTAACATGATCTTATTCTATCGGATAGCCCAGCCATTTGAATCCTCATTTTATAAATTGCAAGAATGGTGTTCACATTGATAATTCTTTTTCTAATATTAACTTTCTATTAATTGGAATTCTTGCAGATAAAACCACTTTCAGTTAGATATGGCCTAGGTATATCTGATCATGATAGTGAGGGTAGACTTGTGACTGCAGAGTTTGATGCATTTTATTTGATAAGTGGATATGTCCCTAATTCTGGAGATGGCTTGAGAAGACTGGTACTTGTATTATATTACTTTCCTTTTATATTTCTAAACTAGTTATATTTTCTCCATTTCAATCTGATAAATGTATCCTCATCCAACTAATCTCTCTGTATTTGAATCTAGTCTTACAGGGTGACTCAATGGGACCCATCTCTTAGCAATTATTTGAAAGTATGTGTAGCTCCCTTTCCTCACCTAGTGGGATAAGCCTTGAGTAGTGTTATTTTATGTATATATTGCTGCTTTCATACTTTTATATTTCCTTGTCTAGTCAGAATAGACCATTCATCCTATGCTTACATTTTTCCTTTGTCGTTTATGTCAAATTGGGTTTATGATATGCCTGAGATAGACATAACTTTTTTTCATGTTTGCATGTGTTAGCAAAATTCTGTTTTTTTGCATGTTGAGTTGAAATCTGAGAAATTCTGAATTTTATTTGCTTGAATGATCATTTACAAATGTTTACAATATATTGACTAATGTGAATAATTGCTTTCCTAATAAAGAGCTAATTTCAAGGAAACAACATCAACATCAACAACATCTTTATCCCAAACTAGTTAGGGTTAGTGGTAGATGAACCCAAACGAAAGGTACGAAAAGATTGGGGAAAAAAAAGAGAAAAAAGGAAAAAAGAAGATAAAAAAAGTTTCTATATATATTTAATATTATCCATAAAAAGGCAGTACACATTTTTTAAAGGAAAAATAAATTAAAAGAAAATACAAATAAAGATATATAGGAGGGCGCAAAAAAAGAAAGAAAAAAGGGTAAGGGAGAAAAGAAATACAAGACAAGAAGGGGAAGAGAGAAAGAAAGGGAGGGAGATAAAGAGGAAAAGGATTAAAAATGGACCATTCAGAACATAGGAGTAAAAACGGGTCTAACCCTCCATCATGCTTATAGCTTTTCTCCACTCCGTCTTGAGATACACCATCTGCCAATCTATATTCCACTCCATTAATTCTTGTTTTATTATCTTTCCCCAAGTAAGTTTCTGTCTAGATCTACTTCTCTTTGTGTCAAGTTCTTGGTAACAAATAAGAAGTAAATTAGATCTAATGTCACATATCTTCCCTATAATATGGCTTATCATAATCAATCTAATAAAAGGGAAAAATAAATCTATAATTATTGCACAATTATTCATTGTATATTTGCAACATGTTGTTATATTAAACTCACCAAATTATTTATGATGTTGGCATGTTGAGCATGATTACTTGTTTCAACTTGAAATATGATGTGTATAATTCTTGTGGACTCGTTGGTGCTCAGCAATCTTAGAATAATAAATTCTTGTACTTGATTGTTCTATATTTGAAAAGCCAAGTGACATTGTCTATATGCCCAATATGATAAAATGACATTTGGAATGCATCACTTTAATTTGACAAAATATAATTGACGAGCAGGGTGGTGCCCTATGTTGTACACTGTTTTTTTATCTCTTTCTTTTTGTTACATTAAATTTGGGCAAAAGTTCTTTTCTCAGACGAATTATTAACTTGTTATTAAAAATTGTTATATATATATATTATTAGGACTCATCATGATTCCTTTTCTGCTGGGTACAGGAGCTAGAAAAGTCAAAACCTGTAATTTTGACTGGTGATCTGAATTGTGCTCATGAAGAGATAGACATATATAACCCTGCTGTAAGTGATTAAGATTCAATATTTTCCATGAAAACGGTGAATGTATCATATTAAACTGTTGTAAATAATACCAACGAAGCAAGGCACTTGTTTCTGGTAGAAATTACTGGATTTGGAAAGAGAAAAAAGAAGAAAAAGTAATCAAGAAGTCGTTAACATGGCTTGACAAACTTGAATGCAGTTTATTTAACTCAAATTGTTTGGCGCCGGTTGCTACTATCAAAATTCAAAATAGTCATTGTTAGAAAGTATCTCCTATTTTGGGCCTGTAGATAGGGCCGAATATTTTTGGTAAATGAGTAGGATTTACCCATTGTTTTCTTAATTTCCTAGTTTCCTTTTTTTCTAGTTTTCTAATTTAGCTGGGAAACTAAATTACCTTACAATAACCAGACCAGATATTTCATTCGTAATTAGTGTGGTGAGTCAATTTATGCAATGTCCACATCTTGATCATTGGAATGTAGCGGTAGCGGTACACATCTTGCAATATATTTAGAATGCTCCATGTCAAGGATTGTTTGATAAAGACAAAGGGAAAGCTCTATTCGTGGGGTACCCCTATGTAAATTAGGTTGGTTCACCTATTGATAGGAGTCTACTTCAGGATAATGTTTATTTGTTGGTGGTAACCTTGTATTATGAAAAAGTAAAAAGCAAAATGTGATTGCTTGGTCCAATGCAAAGGCTGAGTATAGAGCTATGACAATAGTCACTTGTGAACTTACATAGATAAAACAGTTACTTTGTAAGTTGAAGTTCTGAAATGTTGGTCATATGAAAGTATATATATTGTGACAATGCAGTGGCTTTACAAATTGCGTCAAGTCCAAAGAGGACCTAGCATATAGAATTCAATTGTCACTTTTGTCAGGGAAAATGTTTTCTCGAAGGAAATCAGAAAATCATTCATCCATCTCGAGGCATTCAAAGCACGATTCTCTCCTAGTGTCAAAGTGTAACTTAGGTTGAGACCTACTATGTATCCTTGGTAACATTCTTTATATGGTCAGTTATATGGGCGATGGGTGTTATGAGGAAACCACATCACCTGATAGTATCTGGGAGATGTTGTAGGATTGATGACGACATCAATCATATTAGAGGGGTATGTCACAGCCAACATCTCTTGACTGCTACGAGAATTAGAACAAGGTTGTAGGCTAATAGCCCACTATACTATGAGTTACACGGCCTTGATCATTTCTGGCCAATTTTGTTCGGACTTATTAAAGCTGTTCACACCTAAAATGAGCAATTTGGTTTAAATGCATCGAAAATAAAGACAAGATGGAATCTAAATCAGTAATTTGTCTGTTAACATCATGAATAATAAAATGCAAGTTTAGGTTGCCAAGAGCACAAAAACCAATGTTATAATCTATTCTGATAGTTACATTTATCCCACAGGGTAACAGAAGAAGTGCTGGGTTTACAGATGAAGAGAGGAAATCGTTTGCAACAAACTTCTTATCAAAGGGATTTGTAGATACCTTTAGAAGGCAGCACCCTGGGGTCGTTGGATATACTTATTGGGGTTATCGGCATGGTGGGCGCAAGACTAACAGAGGTATTTCTAGCATACTCCTATAATTGATTTATTATATACTCGACAGTTTGTATAGAATCTAGTGGTGTTATTTGTGAAAATTAATACATTAAAAATGTTGATATGATTCCAGTTCAACTGCTTCAATTAACTATTTTTTACATTGTGTTTATACATTTATGAAAGCAAGCACATGCACATGTTGCTCACATGGTAGTTCTCCATTTGCTAGATGTTTAATGAGAATTACTTACATGATTATGTGTATGTATCTTATTCATTAAGTAGTGAATCAACAAATATCATAAATTATTGTCAACTGAACTTTGAATGTCCCTTTCAAATAAACTTTGTTCTTTATACTCTCGATGTTTTGTTTCAAAATTTTAAACAGGGTGGCGTCTTGACTATTTCCTTGTCTCAGAATCCATAGCTGACAAAGTTCATGATTCGTACATTCTCCCTGATGTTACTGGTAGTGATCATTGTCCTGTTGGCCTCGTTGTCAAGCTTTAGTTCTGTAATTGAAGCACTATGTTTGAGCTTGTAGGGAATTTTGCTTGAGATTGTAATTTATGAGCAAGCCTATTTACCTCAAGAAGGGATTTTTGCTTAATTTTTTTTTGCTTTCTGGCTTGCTTCACCTTGTAAAAATCTTCAATCCTTGTACAGGGTAATCCATGATTTCGACTAAGCTATTCGAATTTTGCACTAGGAATCATCCTGTAATGCTAAAGAAAGAACATGCAGAAATTTGAATAAAAGGCGAAGGGCAAACTCCGTGCACAAGAATTCGCACTTCGCAGCTTATGAGAACAGGAGTGAGAGTCGATTGAATGTAGTCTTATCCATTTGGCAAAGAGATTACTTTTGAAACTCTGAACCTACGATATTCCTGTCACAAGAGGCAAATCTATCATTGTTTCAATAAGCAACCTCACCATTGTTCTGAGGCATGATCTCAAATTTTAAATCTCCTATAAAAATTGAGAATATGGTATAGGAGTGCTAGATCTGGGCGATGCTTTAGTAACTATCAATAAAAGGAATTTATTATTTTCCAAAGAATATTTGAAATTGAGGGATTAACTTGAAACACTGGAGGCAGTGACATTTCTGTTCCTGCATGTACACGAGGGAGTGGTCTTGAGAAAGTTCGATCATGTTAAGAGACTAGTCAGCAATGGTGGTTCATTGGTTGAAGATGAGGTGGAGGTGGGGGTGGGGGTGGGGCTAGGGATGGCAAAAACTACTGTCGGGTTGGCTCGCAACCTGTCCTAAATGAGTTGGGTTGGGTTGGCCTAAATGAGCTGCCAACCCGACTCAATCCGACCTGATACAACTCAGACTTAAACGAGCCAGCTCGCGGGTTGAGTATTTTTTTTTATTATTAAAAAAATAATGACTGTATTAAATATATATATATATATAATATGAAAACTCCAAAGCTCGCTCACATCGTCGTCCTTCGATAGCAAAAGCAGAAACGTCTTTCTTTGCTTGATACAGATGGTAAAAGTTTTCATTTCTCTTGGAATATATTCGATTTCGATGTAGAACTTGTAACTTTGTGGTAATATTTCGTTTTATATTTATCTGAACTCATTTTTTTTATAGGAATTTTTCAGTTGCTGGGTACGCTGTGACCTTTGGACCCACGGATCTGGTTTGTTGTAGAACATTGCAGGGTCATACAGAAAAGTGACAAACGCAACCCGCGAGCTTTTTTTCGAGCCAATCCGCGAGCTGATTATCGAGCCAACCCTAACCCGGCTCGGGTCGGGCTGGGTTAGATTTTCTGGCTCGTTTAATTTTTCGGGCCAACCCTAACCCGACCCGTTTTTTACAGATTGAATGCGGGTTGAGCCGGGTCGAGCCAGGTTGGCCCGTTTTGTCAACCCTAGGTGGGGGTCACTTCACACAAGTCCATGTCAGAGCCCAAAAGGAGATAAGAGTGTAGACAAAGAAAATGAACATATTTATCTGAATTATCTCTTGGTGTGTGCTTTTATAGGAGGTGAGATTTTCCAAGATCTAAGTGCGCATTGTGCATAGTTTAGAGCTAGTACAGGTAAAAGACAAGTTTTGGCTTAAGGTATCATACATAGTATAAATTAATTTTATAAAAGATTATTAATTGTGCTTTTCTAATCTTAGTGGGTGTAACACAAAGTCCTCCATTACTACCATTATTATTTACTACCTTTATTACTGGAAATAGATCCTTTTATGTCTTAGTTTAATATGATATAATGAAAGATTTCAGTCATTCATTTATAGATCAATAGTCATCAATCAAAGTGATAAATGAATAAATGATTATAACGACTATTGATTTATAAAAAAAATTATATGAATGTTTCACATTTAAAACAATACATGAGAGTGCAACTCCTGATGCAATCCTGCTTTTGCATCCACTCTTCCCACTGTCAAGGGTAATATCAAATGCATACACTTCATTCTTATTTATTATCACACCATGTTTACTGATAAAAAATATCATTTTAATTATACTCTCATTTTTTCTACTTAAATTATTTTAATAAACCAAATATAACCTGTACTTGGTAAATATAAAAAGAATGTAAAAGGGTATACAATCAATAGAACATGAGTATAATGATGTCTCATTTCCAATTGAGGAAAAGAAAAAAAAAAAAAACCTCCTTTACCTTTAAGGCATGGGTTCATACGTAACTTTCAAGCGAATTTTTGAGTAATCATGCATGCAAAATGTTACGAAATTGTTGAGCCCAACACAGATTATGTAAATTGGAAATGAAATATATGATCTTGCATATTATTACAGCATAAATATTGTATGTTCTGAGAAGAATTTTACCATTAATTCTAAGGTATTGCCTACATGAATTTTAAACAATCTAACTTCAAATTAATGGTGTAAATTCTTTTAGACTATGCAATAATTGTTCGAGCATGGTAGAATATCTCTCGTTTAGAAAGTTATCATGACTTTGTAAAAAAATATTTCAATCCAAAACTTTAAGATGTTGAGCAAAAATTTTTTTAATAGTTTATATTATTTTTTAACACGGCCCTTACACAAGAATCTTTTAAGTTTGAAATGTGAATATTGTTGTTAGGGTCAAACCCTAAGGAAGAGAAGGAAGCACGAGAGAAATGAAGAGAAAATTGAGTTTTATTATCTGGATGGTTTAATCTCATACAACTCAGTAACTATATATTGGTATTGTTTACAATCCCCCGCTATACAACTATACGACACGTATAACGAACTGATATAGCTGTCTAACTATTTCTCAACAACTCAAGCTATGAAATCTTTTAACTTGGAGGACGCAACTTGACACGTGTAGAGGCCTTACGCATAACAATTGCGCAGACCCAATAAAGATCGAACTCGTAATCTTATGATCATCAAAACTCTATACCATGTAAAGAATCAATTCAACTCAAAAGTTGGGTATGAGCATTTTTAATAGTTTATATTAGGGGAAAAAGTATCTAATGTTACCTTAGACAACTTTCTCTAATGTTCACCGAAACGACGTTATTTTGGGTTGAAAAATTAAAAAATTAGAATGATAAAGACTATTATAATCTGAAATAAATTAAAATTACAAACATACCATAATTTTTGTCCCAAAATGACATTGTTTCGGTGAATATTAGACAAAATTATTTAAAGTAGCTTTCGAAAAAACTAACCCTTTATATTATTATGATATTCTCTAACAACTTGGTGAAGTGAAATAAAAACAATGTGGAGCAATTATAAATCTGGGAAGTTGACCAAGTTTTTCGCTCATAAGATGAGCATGGCGTCAAGACACCAAAACAACTAAAAAAAGTACCTACTTAAAGCAATAATAGCATAAAAGAATGACTTTAAAGGAAGGGGTGACACCTAAAACATCCCATTAGGATTGCAAAGACTAAGGGACAATTTTCAACTGTTAGAAATATATTCTAATTAGGGTTTCCTTATTTTGTATTAGGGTTTCCTTATTTTGTATTAGGTTTGATTACATTATGTTTGAGCTTAACCCATTAGTTTGTTTATATATTGTACATCCTTCATCAGTTAATATACACAGAAATATTTCAAATGTTCCTCTCTTTTCTCTTGTTATTTAACATGGTATCAAGAGCCTAAGGAACTTTGAATTTTTTTTTTTCCGGTGAACCCACTGTTCATCGTCGTTTAAATTTTTTCCGGAGCTGTCTCCTTGTCAGTTTCCGGACGCTTCTCTCTTCGCATACAGCCGCCAGACCTTCTGTCTCGTCCAGCACCACCGTCCGGTCACCTTTTCCGGCGATCCACATACCGCCGTGCTCGTCTCAGTCGCGCGGTTCCAACGCCACCGGTCCCGTTCGATTCCAAGTTCACACGCGCCCTCACGCGCGCGTGACATTTCGGCCACTCTCTTCACACCGGCGGCGCGTGGAGGTTCCTCTCCGGCCGTGGCTGGTTGCGATCTTCTCATCTCCTTGCGTAGGTTCTGGATCTGGTCTTGTTTTGGTGTTTGGACCTCTTTTTGTATTGACGTACAGATCCCTCTTCTACCGGTTAGTTGTGTGATCTGTCCTTTCTGATTTTTTGTTTTTGATTATGGACCCTACTGCCTCCAATGTTTCTGTTTCTGGGACTCCGGCTGGACAAAAGTCGGAGTCTACTATTTTTTCAAATTATATCCTTGCTCCGTTGAGTGTGGATAAATTGGATGGGTCCAACTATGATACTTGGTCTTTCGATCTGCGACTTTGGTTGGATGGGTAAAATTATACATCCCATCTCACCACTAAAGCTGAATCTGTGGCGGAAAAGGAGCGCACACGGTGGAAGATGATTGATGCTCAGTTGTGTAGTCTCATTAAAGCTACTCTTCATCTGTCTATCAAGCAGATTTTTCGACCTGCTGTTACTTGTGAAGCTATTTGGAGTCAGGCAAAAGCACTGTACACCAATGATACCCAGAGACTCTATGGTGTGTGTCAGAAATTGATGACTACCTTTGCTCCTCGGGACTTCAATTGTCCTATGACTGAATATTTGGGGAAAGCTTAGAGTCTACTTCATGATCTTAATGAGCTTCTGCCTCTCACTGGTGATGTTATTAAGGAACAGGAACAGTGTCATACACTGTTTATGCTGTTCATTTTATATGGTTTGCCTGACCATTTGTCTGCCAATCGGGATCAATTTTTGGGATCTACTACAGTTCCTACACTGGATTTCGTGATGTCTACCTTGCTTAGAATTCCCTCTAAGCCCTATACGTCATCAGCACCTCCTATGATGCCTATACCCCCAGTGGATTCTGTTGACTCTTCCGCTCTTGCTACTCAAGGGTATGGTCGTGGACGTAGAGAAGATTCTGTTGACTCTTCCACTTTTGCTGTTCACGGGTATGGTCGTGGACGTAGAGAAGATTCTGTGGACCCTTCCGCTTTTGCTGTTCAAGGGTATGGTCGTGGACGTCGATTCTCTAAAGGAAAGCTATTATGCACTCATTGTCATCAGACCAATCATACTGTTGACCGCTGTTGGAAGCTTCATGGCAGGCCACCTCCACCTCCTCGGAATGCTCATGTTGCTCTGGCTTTCTCTAGTACCTCTGCTCCAGAGTTACCTTCCAGTGCACAACCTCCAGCTGCTCTTTTGAATGAATTTGTGACTTGGTGGTCTGAGAAGCAAACATTAGGCCCACCT